TCCCAGACCTTGTACCTATGGCCTGCATGACAAGTACCATCCTCAGCATCAAAGGCAAGGACACCAAGCAAGACTTGGAGAAGTGTGTGCAGTCGCTGCGGCCCATGAAGGAGATGGCGGCAGAGCTGCAGCAATCCGTGAGTGTGAGCATCAAAGACTTGAAGAAAAGCCACATTCGGAGGACTTAAGATTGGGGTTGGGGGGTGGGAAGAAGTTACGTGCGTAGGTCTGATTGATGCATGTATGACATGTCGCGGTCTTTGCATCCTGTGGTGTAAGCAGTCTACATTTAACCTGCAGGAAGAAAGATGAGAAGAAGCATGAGGCGGAGCAAAAAAAGATGGAGCAGCAGTTGAAGCAGCAGTGTGCGGCGCGAACAAGTGAGGAGGCCATGCGAAGCACAATGTTGGCATCCTTGATTACGCCTTTCACGCTGAAGGGCGAGACCATGCAGGCCATCCCCGTGATCCGCAGCAAGGGCAATTGTGAGAAGCCATTCATTGTGAAGGCCGACCTGGGCGACAGCTGGGGAGATTCCGATGTTCCCAAGACGCTGAACATGTGGAAGGAGAGCTTCCCCAAGCAAGAACTTGCCAGAACGTGCAGATGTGTTTCAGCGCCCCTCAAAGAAAACATGGGCTCCGCAGCTGCTTGCAAAGCTTTCCATACTTTCGTTGAGAATCACTTGGATGCTAAATTCATAGATTCCCCGCCAACCATTGCTGCGGTTGTTGATACCCCAAACCTTCTGGGCTTCATGAGCGACTGCGTCTACTTTTTCATGGAGCCGGAGATGGGAGCTACGTTGCGGTTTCAGGTGGAGGGATCCATGGATGTGATGATTGCCCGGGTGCCTCGGTTTTGTTTCATAATTCCCCAATCACAGAACCTTAAGCGGCCTTAAACCCTAATCCCCAAGCCCCAAGCCACCTTGAAATCCGCCTCTCACCACTCGTGCCAGGCCACAACGATCATTGGCTCAGCTGATTCCCCGCCAAGCAGCATCGACGGCATCCTGAACATCATGCGTGGCTTGGCGCCAAAGGACGGCGAAGTGCCCTTCGTGAAGAACATGTGGCGCGGCACCCTGCACCCTGGTCACGTGCTGTTCACGCCGGCTGGTTGCTGTGTGGGGGTGCGTGTCTTGAACAACCAGTTGTGTACAGGCGTGCGCAAGCATGTGATTCCCCTCACACGTGATGGGATTGATGATTTGGAGGCTGTGGCTAAAATTGCCCCGGTCCGTGTGTCCGCAGCCCTGATGGGCTCGCTGAAGCAAAGCATGGAGGCCCAAACTGGGGCAAACTCCTAGGTGCTAGGCCTGTGTGTGCAGTGCTGTGGCGGTGGGATGTGATAGAGTTCGCCCTGTTCGTGAGGTGCACACATTTAATGAATTTAATGAGCGTACTATGGGCAACTTTATCCGGGGCTTGCCAGCCTGCGTGCTACGTGTGTCGCAGCTTTGTTTCGCGCCTCCTGGTGAAAGTGAGCCGCTGCGTTGCAATGTGTTGCCCAGCTCCAGCATGTGTGGATTCGCATGTATTATGTTCACGCAACATCGCACGCGGCAAGCATTCATCACCACCATCACCATCATCACCACCATCACCAGCGCCACCATCACCACCACCATCACCACCACACCATCACCACCGCCGCCATCACCGCCATCTCCGCCAGCCGCCCCCGCCACCACCGCCACCGCCCGCCCGCCCCGCCGCCGCCGCCGGATTGCTTAAACGGCCCTAAACCCGTATACCCTTCTACCCTATGCCCTAAACTACCCTCAACCCTAAACCCTCAACCCTAAACTCCAAACACCCGTGGGGTACCACGCTCTACGATTAAACCCTCAACCCTGAACCCCAAACCCTGCCCCAGACCTTAAGCCCTATCTAAAATGCCTGGCTCAAAACACATAGCTCAAGCAAAATGGCTAAAAAAAACAAACAATGGCTCAAAGTTGTTTTGGCTCAGACTGTAGGCTGAAAGGCTACATGTCTTCAAGAGAATTTGTTGGCGTTAATGTGATAGCCATTTCAAGTGAACTTGCCAATGTGTACAGTGTCAGTGATGGTAGATGATGCAGGGTGTTAGTGTCGGTGGTGGCAGGGTATTGATACCCTGGAACCATCCCGACTCACGGAAAGACAGGTTTTACAAGCTTGAGCAGCAGTGCTGGCCGATC